AATCGATTTCCTTTATGCTATTTGCGTCGCCATTGATTTGTTCCCATTCTTTCCTGCAACAAACTCGGTCTAGGGCTCGAGCTCAACTCGTCCGTCATTTTCATCGCCATTTGCACCGAAATAAATGGCAACAACAACACACACACACACACACACTCACATCGAATGGGTTATCTCAGAATATAAGCGGACACTGACACTGACACTGAGTCAGACCCAGTGATAGAGCGTAAAAACACGACCATCTCAAGCAACCACTTGTGTTTTGATCACACACCAAACATATTAGATAACGTCATTTCCAATATACACATAATGGTCGGAAGACTCATGATGGAAAATGGTAAACACAAAGTTTTCGAACGTTGTTTCTTTTTAGCCGCTCGTTGTCACTCATTTTCATTTTCCTTGTGGCGCATTCTCTTGCTTTTTTTGTTATTGAATGTGGTGTGTGCACATCGATTTTATTTATTGGAAATGAAAAAAATCCACCAAAAATATACCACAAAGTCTGTGCGTGAATGTGCGTTGTACAGTGTTGTATTCTCGTGCTTCGCACAATCAATAATTTTATTGCTTTTCCGCCGGCTATTTCATCCCAGATTCTGGTTCGTCTCCGTTTCTGGAGTAAGTTTTAGTAGTCTATATGACCAAATACGCATCGAAAGTTTCCGTTTGGCTAAACAAATCCAAAGGATTTTCACATTCACTGGATCTAAAAAAAAACGAAATACTTTTTCCTTCGTCTTCGTCTTCTCCTTCGTTGCCCGACGCTCATCAGAACATAACAATAGAACACAATACATAAAATCATAAAATAAATATGTGTTGCATGGTGGGAAGTTGAATCTAATATTATTTCCATTACTTTATATTATGTGCGTAAGAGACGAACGATAAATGTAATAAACATTAAACATCGGATCGAACATCAAAATATAAGATTTGTTTTATGAGCTGAACGATTATCGTGGCCCAGAACATTGTTATCGAACACGCGTCTTCGATTCATTATGTACTGCTGATTAATATCGCGCAATCGATTCTGCTCTTCGTTCACGCGCGTCATGTATACACACTGTATGCAACGCAACAAAAACACCACTATCACAACGATATATTTAGTGTTGGCTCCAATCACATACGTTCATTGTGCATCTTCATTAGATGTGTGATAAGTATCCAGCGTGGTTTTGAGCGCAATGAAAGGAATCGAGAACAAAAGAACAAAAGACACACACACACAGCCTCACATCATCCAAAACACAAGCGATGTGAATGCGAGCCCAACAAGGCTCGAATCCAACGAAATGGGAACGCAATAAAGATAACGTGTGATCACCCATGTGAATGGCGAAATATCGAAAAGTAATTTGTGCTTTTCGTAAATTACCGACAATGGCTTTTGTCTCTTTGATTTCAACCGCGTATTCTTATCTCATCGAATATTATAGTCTGAACAATTTCAAAAAAAAAAAATACGAAATACTAATACTTCCGTATTATTTTGTAAGTACAAATTATATGAATTCGTTGATACCAGCATGATGAAATTGTACTACTCGATATACGTCACAAATTGGATTTCGGTGGAATGTTTGTCTGGTTTTTTTTCTCACATATGTTCATCATCAAAATCAAATCCGAAAGACTATTACAATGTTAATATATCACTTTGTGGTCGATGTGACTGACGGAGAAGGAAGCTTTCATTGTTATCGATAAAAGTGATTAGTTACGTAAAAACACTTTTCTCTCTCTCTCTCTCTCTCTCTCTCTTAAATCTTTGCTCATTCTGAATCGTTAGAACGTTCATTGAGTAACCGCAATCGAATTCAGTGTATTGATTGAAGACGGCTCTCGAATCAACTCTGTATCTTGATGAGTCTTTTGTTGAGCGATGGATGAAGTTCGGTGACTTGAGTGAGTGTGCCACTTAAGCCGCATACTTGCCTAGATAAAGCGTTCTTAAGTGAATGAATCGACTACGGCTACCATGGAAAGTACGCCAGCGAAAACAGTTAAAGTATCAGTCTCTTTCTCTTTTTGTCGATGTTATTGTTTCAGTCTGTCTACGCGCGTTTACGTTCGACGAATACACCACATTCTTCGAATTATGCTCACACAGTGCCGGATCACAGAATATTCGAAAAGATGGAGAAAAAAAAGTTGCTCAACCAGTTCTGTCTATGCAATGAAGTAAGTTTGTAAGTTGTGAGCACCTCAAACGAGAGTTCCAACGTGTGTGTTTGCGCGCGTGTGTGTGTGTGAGAGAGTTTTCTGCATTCGTTATCTATAGATATACACGTACATAAACTTACATAAGTTGAATAGGTTTAGTCGTTCGCGCACACACAAATGTACACATCGTTAAAAAATTTGCTTGTTGAGCACATACAATGACAAATTACTGAGAATACAAACACAAACTCCAGGTGTAAAGTATACGACAGCATTATCTTTAAGTACACTTGCATCGCTAACATAATGTGAGAGAAGCTTTTTCCATACCTGAAACCACAAACCGAATTGTCAACAATTTCCAGAAATTACATGATCCTTTATCCCATTACAAAAATAGCCGACTTTTAATTAAAATCCATTTCAAACGAAAGGCACCAACATTTGAGCAAGGAAAAAAGTTCTTTCAAAATTTCAACGTCTGGAAAAAAGTATATTCCATTATGCATTTGTAAATGCATGCGAGAATTTGTTGTGGCAATTGTGTCATGAAAGTGGGATTTTGTATATTGAATGGTCGTGTGTATGTGTGTGTGTGCACAGCAAAGCGAGAAAAAAACACATATCCACTTCAGATAAGCAGACCGAATGAAAATAAGTACACAAACACATTATCTATTAAAATAATAGAACCAATTCACACGAACAATAATGAAATTTTAATTTTTCGGTAAACACATGCCAACCAACAAATATCTGATGCAAAAATACACACAAAACCACTGAACAAATACATTGACAAATGTAAAATAGCCAACAAGTTCAGTTCTCTTGCACACATACAACCTGAGTATACACACACACACAGCAACAAGCACTTGTTTATTGTATGTAAACGGTGCATTGTTCGTCAGACACAGCAAGCTACTATTATGATGTAGACATGATTCGAACAGTGTGCTTTTTTTATTTCTCACCGATCGTCAAACGTAACCGCAGACTCGTGCATGTGTGTGTGTTTTTCTCTCTTTAGCTCTCATGGTACTACAGGTAACAAACGCGCAGTGTATATGTATGCGGTGTATATCTGAAGTTGACTTTGTGGCTTTAGATGTACGCACGCGACTGACACGTACAGCAACATCATATACACAATACGTGTGTTTTCTGTTAGCTTATTCGCTTCGTTCGTTCATTCGCTCGCTCGCTCGTTTGCTTGTTTTTTGGCCTACAAAGAACTCGAAAATGTTGCTTAAATCTCAGTACCGAATCGAACCATTTTATTGAAAGTCGGCTTTTACGCGTATTTCGCGCTGACTTTTCTCTCATATTGCATTAGTGTTTGCAGAATCGGTTTATTTCTATAAACTTTATTTATTTGCAAATTCATGTTGGATTTTAATACTCAGTAATTGAAAATCACTCACTGTAAGCGAAAAAAAAAACTATTAATCCAACAGAATATTGGGATTTGTGATCGAAGATATACATTTTTGTTGTGTTGTTGAAGTTTTGAATGTACGTGAGAAATTACCATGAAATAGAGCAATTTCTAAAGTATTTCATGCAAAAACAGCATCCTATGTGTTGAATACAAACAGAAAAATCATAAAATTCAATCGAAATATTAGT